AAAAACGCAAAAAAAGAATTTGTTTAAATTTTTCAACATTTTATAACAAATTGACAAAGTTAAAAAAAATATTTTACAATAGCCCAAACCTTCGCGAATAAAATAAAAAAAAATGTAGCTAAATCGGTTCAGTAGTTTCTGGGAAAAAAATTCCCAAGTGGACCCCATTTTCGCCAAAACGGGCAAAAATTGCAAACTTTGACGGCTTGTCATTCATTAACAAATTCGAAACCGGCAAAATGATGACTTAAACCCCCCCTAATTTCACATGGACTACAATATATTTCGATTAGAGCAAAATCGGAGATGGTGACTTCCAAAAGTGATCGATTTGGCGTGGAATGACCCTAACACATTAAGGTCCGCAAAGAAATCTATAAGACATACGCCTGGGACCGAACATTTTTGGGCAAATTTGTACGTTATAAAATCATCATAACTTTGTGAAACTTTCAGAAATTGTACAATAAGATGCATTGTAAGTACTATTGAAAAAAAAGCTGTTTTTATTTTGCATTGGTGCATTTATACAGTTCTTCATAGCTTGATGTATTCGGATTCCATCAATGGGATCGTTTCCTTCGATGTAGATGAAACGACGGCGAGCCATCGGTGGTCCTTGTTAGATTCTTGGCAGACCAAGGATTTAACCATCAATGCATTGGCTATTGATGTAAATATTTAAATACACAAAGTATGATAGAATGTATCAAAGTAGGTGACATCTGAAGACAGCGTGTAGAAAACACAGGTTATTTCGTGATCCATCTGTAACAGACGGAACACGCAACACGAGAAATAAGCGGTCCATAACAGATGGGTCGCGAAACACGAGAAAACTCGTGAGTGGTTCTTACTGTGTTAATACGTCGCGAGTATCCGACGTGAACAGTATTCCTCCTGATCACGTTCACGTCAGCGTTGACATTTGTATTATCTACTGTGTGCCTGTATCCATGTTCATGCATTATTTCACCTGACAACGCTCATTTCTCTATTTCCGGTGGCGTGTACATTCAAATGTCCCAGGCTACAAATTTAACATATTGACCGTTTATTTTGAAAGTGGCGCAAGACAATTGAGAAAAAAGAAATATCACCTAAACGAAAGGGACTCAAGCGTAACCCCCACTGCTAAATACTGGTGGTGCATGCTGTAAGTAGGAAAGACTGAACTGTGAGCCACTAATAGTACACGACGATATAAACGTGTTTATGATATCCGTGGCACAGTACGTAAGAATGGTACTAATAAACTTCGGGATGAAATCAATCCTCATCGTATCCTGTAGCAGCTCAAGCGAAGGAACTGCCGACAATGTTATCGATAATCAGAGCATAGCCATGGGAACAAGTTTCAATTTCTCAAACAGAACTTTATTATAACCGTAACGCAAATACAGCAGCTAAAGATCCTTCACGGAAGCAACTGATAAGCACCCTCAGCTAGGAAATCCTGAAACTTGACAAATGACAATATCGGTTGCTATCCCAAACATAACCATAGACCTAGAAACCTGATTATAATCCTGATCCTAGGCACAGACTCGACGTTAATCCCGACCAAATAAGACACGACTATAAGAATGACAGCGAAGGCGGAAATTCAATAATACCCTATAATCCAATTTAAGTCTACAAAACCCTTACAGAAATTCTGAAAATTTCCTTTACTGGGTAAAATCCCATGCATTAATATACATATATGTAAACTTTCTATAGCGGCACATGATTCGCAGCGTTAGTAGAAATTAGTATTGACCGTTTACAGATGTTTAGGTGTAGGCACTTAAGCCTACCCTAAAGTCTGTAAGTCGGCAAAACTATTTGAAGTTTTTTAGACGTGCGTAGCTGAATAGGCTGCCCTACGATAAACGCTGCCAGCTATGTCCCGTTACGGTTCATTAGGCCACATGCTCAGCGCGAGCCGGAAGGAAACTTTCGGCTAGCGAAATTGTAATTTATAATATCTTTTCATCCGCCGAAAATGGGAGGACTCTAGTAGGAAAAAGACTCCACCCTGTAGTGTTTAAGACGCTCTGGGCCTTTTTCAAAAAGGGAAATATATACTGCGGAAAGATGTCAAGCAAAAGATAACCAGTCCAGCCTCTGATATTGTAACATTTCATATCATTCATTAAAACTCTACCCTTGCAAACACTCTGTTGCGAGTACTTACCTACTTCGCAACACTTTCCTTTCCCAATAGACCCCAATCCTTGAGATTCGAACTATAAGGGTCTGAGGGGAATTGAATCCATGTGCGAGTAAATGAACGGAAGGTACGGAACAGAGAACCGGGTAAGCGAGTGAGGCGGACATTAGAAAGATGAACGAAGCGTGATTGGCGTACAGCGGGAGTTAATAGGCTGGAGAGCGATGAACGGCAAAATGGCGAGCGCGGAACTGTGTGATGGGTAGAGATAGCAGGTGCAGAGTGTTGCCCACCTACAGGGGCTATACAATGAATAAATGCGTACGCTGTGTCACCTGCCCTTAGCCCTTTCGCGACGGGTGCCGTATATATACGGCAATCACTTGTTTCACAGCGGTTGACGCGTACTGTACACGACACAAGTTCTACTGTTGCAGAAATAAAGTATCTTAACACAAAATTGTTTTGCTAAAAATTCCTTCATACGAAAAAAGGACATTTATTTTCGGTAAGTTTATAGTGTATTAGATTCAAATAATTTATAACAACCTACAAGAAGGAAAGTGAGCCAAATCGCTAATTACATTGGTAAGACCTTTAATTTCAATTTTCTGTTCTTAATGTTAATAAATATTTTAGGTTTTATCCCTTTTAATATGGAATATAAACGCACCACTTCGTAAAAAGAGGCGATTAAATTTACTTAGTACATCGGAATCTGATGAAACTGAAGACGTTAATTTATAAAGTATCAATCCGGAAGATATCAGATGGACGTCTCAAAATTGTGGGGTCACCATTCATGATTTTACAACACAACAATCGGGAATTCAAGCAGACATACCTGATTCTTCAAAAATTTTGCAATTTTTTTAATTATTCTTATCTGAAAAAAACAAATAATCAATGGTGATGAATAAATAATAGTAATTCTGAAGCTGGGACAGACAAAGGCGAACTATATTGTTTTATCGCTGTTCGCTTACTAATGTTTAGGAATAAGAAATTATCACTTGATGAATATTGGTGCAAAAATGAATTATTGTGAAATGACATTTTTTGCAAGATGATGACTAGAGATCGGTACAAAATATTACTGAGAACGTTACATTTTGCTGATGATCATAAATGTAATTCCGATCGTTTGTGGAAAATACGTGAAATAATAAATAAATTACGAAAATCATTTACAAATGCAGTCTATCCTTATCAAAACTTATGCATCGATGAAAGTCTGCTCTAATATGAAGGCAGGCTATCTTTTAAGCAATTTATTCCTGCAAAAAGGAGTAGATTTGGAATAAAATCTTTTGTCCTTTGTAACTGTAAGACAGGATATATACAAGATTTTATTGCATACAACGGGGCTAGTACTATACACTCGCAATATGCTAATATTGGAAAATCGGGAAATATGGCAATGTCTCTTGTAAAACCCTTCTTAAACAAGGGCCACACATTATTTGTGAACAATTGGTACACGAGCCCTGAGTTATTTAAACTTATACACATGAAGATTACAAATGCGTATGGGACTGTTAACAAAAGGAGAAAGGGTATGGCAAAGATGATGCAAAAACTAAAAAAAGAACAGATGTGTTGTCGCCATTCCCGCAACTTAATGGCGATGAAATGGATGGATAAAAGAGAGGTTTACATGTTGTCCACTATGCATTCAGATAAGTACATAAGTGTACCAACACGTCATAGAAGAGAGAAAATGGTACAAAAACCAGCCAGTACACATGATTATAATGGTTCCATGGGAGCAGTCGACAATACCGATATGATCCTAAATCAATCAATTTAACACGTAAAAGTACAAAATAGTACAAAAAATATTTCATGCACATGATAGATATGTGTATCTGGAACGCGTATTGTTTATACAAACAGAAGACCGGTATATCCATATTTATGGCGAAATTTCAATTAAAATTAATTGAGCAATTACTTGCAAAACATCAAAAATCAATACGGCGACATTTTTTTAATACAAGTTTTAACTCTACTGATGACAATCCTGCAAGACTCACAGAAAGACACTTTCCTGCTTTGCACACATTAGACGAAAAAAACAAAGTACGAAGATGTGTTATTTGCAGTAACAACAATAGGGGACGTGAATCACGTTATCAGTGTGAAGAATGCAATGTTAGATTGTGTGTTTACCCCTGTTTTAAAACTTTTCATACTATAAAAGATTTTAAAAAATAATATCAAATAAATACTGTTAAAATCATAATTATATTCTTGTTTTATTTCAATAGCGAACTCAAAATAAAGCTAGTACAGGCATTAGACAACGCAGAAAATGAGATACACGATTTAACGAACAGTGCGTGTAATATACGAGGTGACTCAAAAGAAACGAGACTAGGTGTGTAGCTTGAAAAAACAATGGAATTGGCAGCAATTGTTTTTGTGGCATCATCCCACACACCTCCTCTATCTATAATATGTTGCCAATTTCGATTGAATTGATCATACCACTTGGAAGTATTGCGTTATTTAGTAAACACGTGCAACTGCATTCTGCTGGAAAAATGTCTTACGTAAAAAGCGAACAGCGAATAAACATCATTTTTCTGAAGCTACAATGATTTATTGGACTAGTCTCGTTTCTTTTGGGTCACACCTCGTAATATGGTACATTGCAAGCATACAGTAGTGGCAAAGTATGCTTCAGTTGAGCCGTCGCGAAAAGGGACAAGGTATGGTTCAGTTGAGCCGTCGTCAAAAGCGACAAGATATAGTCAATTGAGCCGTCGCGAAAAGTGACAAAGTATGGTACAGCTGCGCCGTCGCGAAAGGGTTAATACCAGTTGAAAACAGTACATTTAACCTTATCCACTTTTGAACTAGTTCCGATATAGGTACAAAATCGAATCGAAGACTGCGGCTGAAAGCTGATATAACTGCGATCTTAGTTTCTGAATGTGAGCAAATCATCACTTACGTAAGGTTTTCATGGTCCCTCTTGAAAGAGTAATCGAATTAAATCACTGGCACTGTTCAAACCTCTCCTACGCAACCATGAGCAATTCAATACACGATAAAGCTCTCGGTGTGACCAGAAAATAAAGGATGAAAGATATACAAACATCCATAAGCAAAACTGTTACAATATCAGTCAATTCGGTGAGAAGGGTTTTATTTCAAGACGTTTTTCTTGAAAACATGAATTACGTGCTGTATGTAGGCAAAAGGGTATCAAGAGGAGGGTGTTACGCCACAATTGTCCGCGGAAGGCATGTCAAAACATTTATTATCTGCAGGTGACGAAAATGCAACAGGACCATAGATGAATTGCAATATTGAACCAGACAGAAATAATATGACGAAAAAAAATGAAAAGGACAACAATTTATTTACGCTGCAATCAATATACGACATATTTCTGGAATCTGTTCATGATACATTGGAGGAAAACCCGCAAAACGATATTGACGAAGAAGTCGAAAATGTCGTTTTCCATGTAGACAGTAATATTGATGTAGGTCGTTTGTGTTCTACCGAGATAGTGGGCCAAGCATCGTCAAATTTGGGCATGTGGGGCGATTCTAAACAACTTTTTCCTTTGCCAAAATATTGGTTGAGACTCCATTTTTAACCGACTTCGAAGAAGGAGGAGGTTTCTCAATTCCATCAGTACTTTTTTTTTTCCTATGTATGTTCGCCGATTACGCCTAGCTGGGTGGACCGATCGGAACAAAACCTTTTACATCTGGTAGGTTCTGACTCCCCATTGGTACCATTCTCAAAAAACTTTCATTTTTTAATTGCAAAGTATTGTTATTGCAAAACAACCGGCAACTTTTTTGTTATTGCAAAAAAACCGGCAACTTTTGAAATAAACTTTTCTCGATTTTAATGCGCTTTTAATATCTTACCACGGACATGATTCTGAACAATTTCGTTCATATACAAATTTCGTGGAAAGCTTTAGTTTTCGAGATATTAGCGAAAAATTGTTGAAAAGTTTTGAAATCAACTTTGGACGATTTTAATGTCCTTTTAGTATGTTGTCATGGGCATGCTTCTGGACAACCTTTTCCTTGTGCATAATTGACGGAAAGCTTTAATTTTCGAAATATTAGCGAAAAAATAATTGAAAAATGAATATCCATGTTGTCTTTTACTTAATTATGTTCATGGCATTTACGCAGACAAAAAAAAAGCACGGAAGAACTGTCTCACAGTATCCTATACAGTTCTCCCCATTCCATTATCACTAAAAAGCGTGAAATAAAATAATTTTAAGAAAAAAAATACGCCGACTTCGAAATGCACTAAAAAGTATAAAATAATTTCTATTTCCTAATGAAGTAATTTCTATTTCATTCAATCATACAATTACGTAACAGATATGAATGAAACCTATTTACTCCGTAAATGCCATGAACATAATTAAGGGGTAACACCACTCTAGGATTTTCAAAAAGCCGATTTTTTTTTCTTTTGCTAAAACAATACTTTAGGGTCTTAAGAACAGAATGCCGTTTGATTTATAGTGAAAAACAAATTTTAAATGGTTCAATTATCAATTTTGCCGCAGCGCAACACAGCGCGCACTGAGTACTCGCGCGGTATGTTGCAATTCATCGCTTTCGTATTATTGTTATCATTTAAAATAATAAGTTTACTTGTTACCTACCAAACAAACAGAAGTATCCAGAAAGCTACAGAAGATGGCAAACACTGATCTGGATAACCAAATGTATAGTACAAGCATTGCAGATTAGCGGCGAATAGAGAATTTAGGGATCAAAATGTTCATAAAACTTCAAACGCGTTTTTCTCGAAACCAGTTTCTTCAAACTGGGAGGACGGATTTCTTGGTGATTATTGCATGGATTGAATTGAAATTTTTACAGTAGCT